TTTTTGAATACTCTTTTCCACTTTTTCTGTAGTGTTAATTTCATCCTTCTATTTAAACTTACTCTCTTTTTTTCCCATCAACAGTATCAACAACATTCATGTATATGTCAATAATATTTGTGAAATTCTTTTCAAATGCTTACTACGTTCTTCTATCCTTTTTTCTTTTTTTTGCATACATGGCGCTAAAAAACTTAAACAAACTGCTTACTTTCATCACCGACATATCCACTCTATGGTAATAGCTAATACGTCGCTGCTGAGTGAAACCAATAAGATAGAACAATAGAAAAAAGAAACAAGTTTAACAATTCTGACAAGTAGACTCTACAGCAAACAAAACGAATAACAGTTTCGAGGTTATTGTAAAAAACTTTTCTGTTTCGAAAAAAAAAAAAACGAAAAACAAGTCTAAATAAAAATGAGCATTTTCAAAAAAAAACAGATCTAAAAAGAAACAACAACAACAACAGTAATAGCAACAGCAACAACAACAACAACAACAACAACAACAACAACAACAACAACAACAAAAGTCATCCATATATCAAAATAAACCAGATGTATCCTCCACTTATATAAATTCACAAAAAAGAAAAAAAAACCATAAAATATAACATCCAAAATAGAACAACAAAAATAACCATACAAGAAGTAAGTTTATCTTAAAAAAAGCTTTTCGTAAGACCAAAGACCATAAATATACAGAAAAAATGTTTCTGCTAAAAAACTGTTCAGACCAGTTTCTTTACTGAATGCTTTGCTATATGATCTGGAACTAACAGGTACTTTTAACAGCAGAATTAAATAATCCTATCAAATTCATCATTCACGTTTCACACGGAAATGGCTAACAACTTTTAGTAATATCCAAAAAAAAGAAAAAAAAAGAAGAACAAAGAAGTCAAAAACTAAAAGCTCAAAAGTCTATAAGGCAAAACCAAAGAACTGCATAAATTTCACTGATTAATTGAGCAAACAGCAAACTTAATAGAAAGTGAACAATACGGCACACTAAGGAAAGAATTCAAGAAACTGTAAAAATACCGTAATTGAAAAACGGGTGACACTAAATGTCATCAAAGACTGAAGCATCAAAATCACTACCAATGGGAATTAGCTCATCCGTATTGATATCGAGTGAATCAGCAGTTTTCGACTCGGAAACCTAAATGTTGAATGTAACCCAAACGACAAATTAGTGAGATATTCAACCTAAATTTTCATTAAAATAAACATTCACTTGCAAGAGCTTAAAAAGACATCAAATAACTACTGGTTTACCGTTGCGCCCCAGCCAAAAATACGATTCAATTTTTATTTCTCAAAACGATTTTTGTTACAGCTCCCACAAAAATGAAGAGAATCGCAGAACAGAATTTAAAATTATAATGATTAATAAAAAGAAAAGAACTATTTAGTGTTCCAGTATGTAGAACTTACTCTCATATTTTCTCGATTCCTCAGCTCTATTTGCCTTTTAATTTTGGAAAAGCAAACGTCAAACTTTTTCTCCAATGTATCAGCACAACGGAAAACTCCAGACGTTTTAGCATGATAAATTCGGGCATTTTGAAAAATCAATTTGATATCGGCAAGGAACTCATCTAGTTTATGGTACCTCAGCTGTTCAATTTTGTTGTCAATAATGGAGAGATCTGAAAGCCCATATTTCAAGGAAAAACACATCTTTTATTACCTTTGATTTATTGAAAAAGTATTAGTCTACTATAAAACAATGTCCAAATTTTACAGAAACAGTAAAACAGAGAAACCACGGTAAAATGGCAAATAACCTATAGGGTTCTTGATCTTTTCATAATAATCTGGGTACATTTTTTCGTCGGTTCTCTCCCGAAAAGGCCAACTTGCCCGTTGCTCTTTGATAGTAGCGAGAAGCTGTCCAATCAAATCATAATCCTTTCTCGTCAAAATCATGGCAAAGGGCACGGTATTACCAGAAGTAACGGGATCAATCAATTTATTCTGAGACGACTGACAGTTCGGACAAATGTATTCTTCCATAGCCTCTGCCTCACTAAAAATTTATTTCTGTTAAATTTTAAAAGAAGCCTTTGAAATTCATAAAAAAGACTAATCAATATTTGCTTAATTAAATGTCGATGAATTCACTGTATAGCTTGAAACTTTAAAAGAGCAATACTGAAAGACAGAATTGAAGTTTTTGAAGGACTAACGCTTGCGTGATCCCAACGCACTGCGGATGATACCACCCTTCACAACGATCACATCCCACGTAAAAACGAGTATTATCATAGGGAGTTTGACACACACAATATAGTTCCTTAAATATAGTAGTGAGACGAGGATGAAACAACGCAGTTTGAAAAACATTGAGCACGGTTAAATAACTACAGAATAAGTCAGAAAAACTTCCGACTTCTTCGGTTTCTGGTTGCGAACAAGAATTACAAGTCCACTCTTTAATTTTGTTCCACTTTTTCTCGTTGAGGCCCATACATTTCCCGTGAAAGCAGCGCTGGCAAGTACTGCATCGGATATTGAAACTGGAATAACAAGTTATGTGGTAACACTACAGTTAGCAAAATAACTTGTTCAAGCAAAGTGAATTATTTACAATAAATTTTAAAATCAATAAATTATCAAAATATTTGATTTCGAACAGACTCAAGCAACATACGTTTTTAAATCAGGAGATTTGTTGCAAATACATAACATATTAATATCAGGAAAATCCTGGCTCGTCGTATTATCCTGTTTCGAAATTTGCAAAGTCTGTTTCACAAATTCATCTGTTTCTTTTCGAGGTCTACCTCTGCCCCTTTGAAAATTATTTGCGTTCTGATTCACAGCAGAAATTTTCTTCCCAAACTCATTTAGCCTCTGAAATGTAACAAAATCCCTTTAAAAGAAAATCTAGGACCAAAAGAATTTCCGTAACTGTAGAACATCTCTGATCAAAAGATTTAAGTTTGTGGTGGAACTTGCTTCCAGCTATGGACAAGTTCACTGACTATTACGGTTTTTTTACCACGAATAGCTATGTTAAGATACCTCTGAAGAGAAAACCAAAGAATCACAAACTGAATAAAGTTAAATTTACTGCAAGACCTTCCTATCCACATTCCTTTCTTTAATTTTCTCACTTCCGTCGGGCGAATCTTCATAGGTTCTATAACTTTGTGCTGACGACGTCATTTCGTAATCTCCTTCTTCCTTATTTAAGTTATCAGTAGGATGTGTCGGGTAAAGAGTTTCACTTAAAGATATAGCTGCAGGATCAAGTACGGTTGAAGAGTCCTCCACTTCGGATTTCTTAAGAAGCGCACATTTATTTTTTACTAAATTCAGAATCATTATGTGCATTACCAATAACACTGTAAATCAGATACCAAGGTAACACGGTCTTCTTTTTTGATCTCTGATACTAGAAGATAAGAAGAGTAAGAAATTGAAATCATCAGTCAAAAAACAATACCACTTCCTTCTTAATTGGTGTTTTGTTAGCAGCAGCGCCAACTGAACTGATAAGAGTTTGACAAGATGCCGCCATATACTGCTGTCTAACAGCTGTAAAGGAAAACACAAATGAGCAAAAAAATATCAGTTAAAATATGCAGCCTTGAAGCAGACGCATGCAGTTTGAAAAATACCTTTGCTAGGAAAGATTCTATTTGAACTTGCCTTTATTCGGTCTTCCTCTTGGTCTTCTCCATGGTACCGCCATACCCATTTCCATTTCAACCTTACTTTCCAATTTAACTCGTCTTTTATTTACCTCCTTTTTAATCCTATCCATGCGCTCATTTAAATCTATTTCAAGCTGTTTCTGTCTTGACTTTAATGACCTATGAGACCTAAAAATTATTGAAAGTGACTAACCAGCAATTAAAAGACCAGTGATAGCTTGACAGTATTAAAGCATAAATAATGAATAATAAAAAAAAAAGAAATAAAACAAAATTACCGGTAGAATCTCTCAACATCATGGTGTTCTTTAGTCTTTCTTAACAAGTTTTTATGCCAATTGTAGTCTTTATCCCATCGACATACTTGAGTGATCAGATCATTCAAAACCTGAAAGCGAAAAAAGTGAGGATTACAGACAGAGTTCGAAATTTAAGGACTTGATTGGCATTAAAAAAAGACAACTCTCTCGCACTGTGCAATCCATAATTCCGATATAAGGAATTGTAAAGAACCTGTTTTATCTGAACAGTGTCGAAAGAATCCCCTTCCTTAACTGTTAGATGACCTTCGAAACGACGATTAGCAATAGAGGATACTCTTAATGCTTCGACTTCTCGACGAACAGTTACTAATGAAATTAGGTAGTCAGAATAGCAACAAACATCGAAAAGTGAAATATTACTTGATAAAACGCAAAAAAAGTTTAAACATACTTTCCTTCCTCCTCATCTCCTCGAACCTCGATGTGTCAGCTTCAATGTTTATTCCAGAACCTAACCTTTTTCGTTCTTCTTCTAATCGCATCCGTTCTTCTTCCTTAGCAATAGCCTCTGCAATTGCTCTCTCTTCTTCTTCGTTGGATTCAAATTCAAAGCAAACAGGTCGAGGCACTTGACGCCTACAGGAGAAACTTGGTTAAAAACCTATTTCCCTTTAACATAAAAACAGAATCAACTGTTACAATATCCTACAAGAAAGTTAGTGTAAAAAAAGTGACCCAACAAACTATGCCACGTAAGTGGAAAGCGAAAAAAGAAAAAAAATTTTTTATTGTTCATGATGAAGGCTGGTGAACCAGTAGATTACCTAAAGTACCACCTCTGGAAAACTATTTAGCGTACCTACCCTTGAGGACCTAACTTGAGAGTAACCCACTCCAAGTGCTCTTTTTTTGAAAAATAATTATTAAACTAGACTGAGGATCTAAGCAAAAAAAAAAAAAAAAAAAGCGAAATTAAGCTACAAATTACGACTAAGACGACGCTAAAACTATCCCCTCTCGAGTGAAAATCAACTATATCACACAAGAGCTGAAACAAGTTTTAACTGCACGCCCTTTAGACGTCTTACCCCACCTAAAACGGTCGCCATTCCAATCGATACCTTTTCTCACGCAATACTCTTTATAAGTTGCAACATTCCGAAATCTACACTGTCCACCCGTAAAGGTCCCGACCGTTGTAACTCCCTAAAATCAAAGCAAGTCAACTGAAGTCGTTTTTTGTTCTTTAAAAGCTTTAGAGATAAGACGAGACCGTGTGACGTGTAACACAGAACTGGCACCAATACTTTATTTTTTTTCTTTTGAAAATGAACAGAAAAGACAGCAATGTATCTCAACACTGATAAAACTTTAACAAACAGTAGCAAATAGTGTAAGTTTAATTACATAAAGCCATGATAATTAAAAAGCTAGCAACAGAAAAAACTATCATCTCCTTATAAAACTTATTTTTGATTAGTACCCGCAAATTTCAAGGCAGATCAAAAAATCAAGTAAGAAAAATCCATAAACAACAATGAGATCTTATAACTTAACCTTGATAAGACATATTAAGCGTAAAGACTCTTAAATGATTAACAATACAGCATAGAGACTACCTAAACGAGTAACGAAAACAAGAACGTTACAAGATGTATAAAGTACACGTCACACGATCACCGCAGATAACTTTAAAACAAATGGGAAATGAAAGTGAGCAAAGTGAAACTAAAGAAAACATCCTATGCAGTAGCAAAAATTTTGAGAATCATTCCTTCTCCATTTTCATTAAAAAATATAAATCAAAAAGCCCTCGGCAATTCAAATTAAATAGCTCCTGTCTAAAAAAGTAATAAGCGAAAAAAAATGCTAGCTGCACTATTCTAATCATAATCGTTCCAAACCTCGTAACCTTCCTCCACTTCAACCTGAAAATGTAGAAGAACGTAAATGACCCCTTCAACTCAACCCGACACATAGACTCATATAACTCACAAGAAATTTCATCTTAAAATAGTTGTAGAGGTATCAATATTTAGAACGACTTCAATATTAAAAGGCAAAAAATATGAATATTAACATACTCGACTTGGAGACTGCACGACACGAGTAGTGCCGTTTTCGCAACGAGGCGCGTTCGGTGAGACCACTACAGGTCCCTCACTTCCGTACCGAGGAACTAAACCATTTTGGCTACCTCTTGAAAGCAAAATAGCCCGTTGCTGGTTAACACGTGGTCCATAGCTGAAAGACAAATGATGGTTTCAAAGTAACACTATAACAACACAAAGTGTAATTCAGCAAGTAAAACTACCCAAAGGTAGAAGCAAGTCGCCCTGGTGGTCGCCCAGGCGGACGGTAACCCTGTTCTGCTAACATCTGGTATTCTTCGACATCAATGCGGTCATTACTTTTCTCGCCATAATAGCCTGCATACGTATCTCTACCACTAGGTCGACGGCGCACGTTCGAGATCTCAAAAAGGCTTACAATAAAAATAGAAAGCAATTTAGCGAAGAAAAAAAA